CTGGCGCCCCCCAGGGGAGGCGCGCCTCACACTTTGAAAACCGCCGATCTAAAGGAATGATTCCCCTGAAAAGCTTTGACACAAATTGGGCGAAAATTGTGCAAAAATTGTGAAATTGTGCGCTTAGTGATTAAAAAAAGGAGATCTGGAGGTAAAAACTGTGACTTAAGGTGACTTTTCCCGGCCTCTAAGACCTTTGTTAGCAAAACCAATAATGACAAACGGGGATTCTTCTGATTCTGCTTTGATTTGCCTACTCTGTCATAGTTCCGCCGTTCTGATTTTAAAAACCCGCTTTATAGTCATCCTTACCCCTCTTTGCAGTTATTGGATTAGTGTTCGAGGTTCCACAAGTAATTCCCATGCGCCGAGTTCTGGCTCCTTAACTTTAATTATCAGAGCCATTCCTCAGTGGACAACCGAGGAGCTCTTCCCTCAGGCGGGTTTGACACGCGATATATGAGTAAAAGGATGCAGAGTGTGTGCGATATATGAGAGCAGATGTTTTCCACTGGGACCCTCTGGGATGTGAGATTTGCACGGAGAGTTATGCGTCACACGTGCACAGGCCCATTTCATTCGTACCATTTAACTCGCGTGAGAGTTTCGGGTTCACGCCGACGCTCTCTGTTGCATAAAAAGGCAGATGGCAGAGAAAAGTAAAAGGTCTTTAGCTCCAGAACAGATAAGAAAAAACACATTTATTAAGATACGGACCCAAACACAAGTGAGTAAGCAGCAAAAAAAAGAAGAAACTACACCAAGAGGAGGCAGTGATGTGTCAAACAAACAAATGGAAACCTTTGACGTACAGTGAGTGTTTTTTTATCATGTCGTCATATATTAACTCATTGACTGCCAACCATTTTCAGAACAGAGAGTCCCATACTGCCAGAGTTTTTTGAGCATTTTGACTGATTTTTCAAGAGCCACAGAATAGTTTGTGCTATGACTATGTAAACACCGAACACACCAAAAGAAAGAGTGGACTCTCTTCTTTCATCAGGAAAAAAAATTTGTTTCTACCTTATTCCGTTCTTCTTCGACTTGCGTCTCACCGGCGACATGTTCTCGCATAGCGAACCATTGCGTTTTTCTTATTTGCCTACAGTCTATGCTCATCTCCCATCAAAAGTGGCACTGCCCCCTAGAGGGTCAATTTGTTACTACATACTCTGTCTAGAAGCCTGATATTTACGGACAAGCTTTAGCAGATCGTCCCCCAGCCAATGAGTTAAAGATGAGACAATAAGCCAGAAACTGTGGAATTAATGTAGGTAAACAGTTTTTTTTTTATGTGTCCGCCCTCACCTGGAGGCCACGGAGGCTTTAGCAGAGTAACGGTTAAGAACGATGACACCACAGAACGGTGGAGGGGATTTTTAATTGTGCCCCGGGAGGTCGGTTTATTTAATATTGATGCCCTTGCTTGTGATGACGCCGGGATAATTACAGCAAATGAAGTCTGACAAAGCGACCCAGAGCAAAGCGTGCGACCTGGGCTGGATAGTAGCATCTGCTGCTCTCTTTAGAATCACAATCAGAATCAGAAATACTTTAATAATCCCAGAGGGAAATGATTTAAAAATTATTGAAATTATTAGTGCACCCCCAATTCCAACGAAGACGAGAAGTTCACAAGGACTCACTAATCTTTTTCTCCCCATATTGGATTGAATACAACATGCTTTCTGGGGCAGGTGGATTTTTTAACCCTATAATGCCAAATGTTTCATATTTGATTCATACGGTTTCTGAAGTCTTTTGGATCTGAGACTTTTTGCATCATTCAATAGTAAAAGCTTTGCTCAAACCCCTGTTGTACACATTCAGATATACCTGATAACAGCCAGTAGAAGACTACACCAAAATATATCTTTGACTTATTGCATGCTAATTTGATCAAAATAATTTGAGTTTTTATTCCTTCATATGTTGTTGAGGGACCAAAGAAAGACTTCAGACTAAAGAAAATCCAATATTTTCATATTTTTCTTGGATCAGGCTTTAAAGGAGAATCTTAGAGTTAGCTTATAGAAACAATGGGTCATCACTGGGTCAGTTTAGATTGTTGAGAACAATCGTAAAGGATCATATCAAAAACCTTCCTTCACAAACCAGGTGATTTTGGTGATGTTTAAGACACAAAGAGGAACCATTTTTAGGAATTATAATAAGTCTGGATTGCCGCTATTGCAAATTGCTCTGTGTCAAATATTCTGTGTAAATGTCATAGTGATGATGTCATCAGAACCTTTATTTAGTCTCCCATGCTAAACTTTACAGAGTTGGATTACAGTGCAGAGAAAGATTCAAAAGCTTTTGAGTCTGTTTAGTCTATTTCTTCATGCTTTTTCTGGGTTCTTTCAGTCGCCGAACAAGCCGACCATTCCCCAGGAGAAAATTAGACCCCTGACCAGTTTGGACCACCCTCAGAGCCCTTTCTACGATCCGGAGGGGGGCGCAATCACCCCGTTAGCCAAAGTGGTGGTGGAACGCATCGCTCGCAAGGTAAAAACGGGAACTCCCTTATACACTGTTGTGGAAGTTTTCATTTAAAGCAAAAGTCTGAGTCCATCTGAGGAAGTAAGAAATAGAAATGTATTAAAAGTTGGACATTGTTTGACAAAATATGACGGGACCTTCTCTGAAACCTTCAAGGAGGAAAGAACCTTTAAAATCTTCAATTGTGGAAAGTTACCAGAGAGAAATTAAGAATGTTATTGTACATATATTGATTTCCCTCACAACACAATGTATTCTACATGTATTCATGTAGAATACATGAAAATAGATCAGTTTTTTTCCCCGGAGGGAGTAAAAAGTAGCTTCTGGTCCTCGTTGGTCACTACTAACTTAACAGAAAGCTTTAGACAGCATCCTGGTACGTAGTTAATCAAAGTTCTTTTTGTTTGGGGCTTGAAGACTGCCCTGAGGACATTACCACATCACATTCTTCCAATGGGCCTAATTGTATTTCATTGCCTCAAAAATAAAATAAAAAACATGGACAGGTTGACAGTGACAGTTTTACGCTTCCTCGTGTTTTTGTGCTCAGAGGTATGAAAAATTCATTTTTTTTCTCAGATTGAGCACCGTAATGAGTCTCACTGTGAAAAAAAAAAAATGGTCTCTTCAGAATTTGCCTAAAAACGTGGGAATTTTGTCACTTTTTGCAGTGGACTGTGCAGAGCAACACTGGATGTAAAAATATGATGACCAGGCTAACAAACTGTTAGCTTGTCAAATCGTGACTGCACACCGAACATATAATTAAATCAAGTTTCAGATCCTTTCTGGATTTAATACATGAAACTTTCTTGATCGTGCTTTAATTGGTCGATATTATTTTTACATTTTTTTTTTTATTGCAACGCCTTGTTTTTTTATGATTTAAATGAAGCAGAGGCATTTCTTATATCCACATTTCCACAATAAGCGGCCATTTTTTAACAAGCATGTGGTGCAATACAAGATAACAAGGCCCTCTGGTCAAAACCACACACAGAAAATGTCCAAAGTCTGCAGAAACGGTGGAAAACAGGACGAAGGGCGCCATCTTTTTTTCGTCTGGACCGATGTGCTCCGGTCATTTCTGAGATCTTGCCGCTGTGTGACCTCAGCTTTCTCTCCGTGCGCACACAGGGGGAGCAGTGCAACGTGGTGCCGGACACCATCGACGACATCGTGGCCGATATCGGACAGGAGGAGAAGGAGGAAGGTAGGGTGGACACACTCCTGAGCCCAGTCACGGCTAATTACTCAAACCATGTCATTGTGGGCTGTCGCATTCCTCCATGCTCTTTGAACTTGACTCCAATCTCTCTGTGTCCAAAACATTTACTTTAACCACTGTTTGTATGGACTGAGTTAGAGGATTAGGACGGACACACAAGTAGTTCATCACTGGGGTAATCGGTGTGATGTGAGAGTCATATTAAAGGCAGAAAATAAACCCCGTCCACTCTAATATGCTCGATCATAATGCAGATTTAAGTATGAAGTTTTCAGTTTGCACTCAAACTTAGAGCAGATGTGGAATACAGGATGTTTTTAACCCTTTAAAGCCTGATCCAGGAATCAAACAAAACAGAAAATTACTTTTTTTTGGTTTGAATTCCTTATTTGGCCTTTTAAGGGCGGCACGGTGGTGTGGTGGTTAGCACTGTCGCCTCCCAGCAAGAGGGTTCTGGGTTCGAATCCCGGGGGAACCAGAGCCCTTCTGGGTGGAGTTTGCATGTTCTCCCTGTGTCTGCGTGGGTTCTCTCCGGGTTCTCCGGCTTCCTCCCACAGTCCAAAAACCTGCATGTTAGGCTGATTGGAGATTGGGGAAATTGCCCTTAGGAGTGAATGTGAGTGTGCAAGGTTGTTTGTCCTTGTATGTCTTGTGTGTGTAGCCCTGCGATGGACTGGCGGACTGTCCAGGGTGTACCCTGCCTCTCGCCCGTTGACCACTGGGATAGGCTCCAGTTCCCCCCGCGACCCCATGAGGGAAGAAGCGGTATTGATAATGGATGGATGGATGGATGGATTTGGCCTTTTAACAAAATATGTAAAAAGAAAAAAAAACAAAAAACTTTTCAATATTAATAATTTATTACTATGCGATAAGTCAAGATTATTTTTCGTGTAGTTTTCTGCCCCCTGTTATCAGGTGTATCTGATTGTGTACAATAGAATTTTTAGCAAAGTTTTTACCCTTAAATTAAGCAAAAGGTGTCAGACGCAAAACATTTCAGAAACATTTGGCATTATAGGGTTAAGCCTAAATCAAGGCTTGATGGCTGTGTTGTCATCTTACCGAGAGTCTCTCATATAAAGTCAATGAAAAACCAAACAACAAAGATGAGTAGAAAGTAAAACAAAGAGGAAACAAAGGCAAACAGTAACAAAATGAGCTAGTACGAAGGTGAAACATGACATATAATATCAGGTGAATGGACACCTTGTTTAAATATGCACGGTGAAGTGGGCCCGTGACTAAACGGTGCTGCTGCAATCATTTCCACTTGTGCTCGGAAAACTCTTTTTTCCTGTTAGCGCCGCGGCATTTTCTGCACACCTAGCAAAAACCCTTAACAAGGATCTCCCGCCGCCTAATAGATGTCTTCCCCTGTTTCCCTCTCCCCTCTCCTGCCTCTCTTCCTGGTCTCTTTTCTCTTTGTGTCTACACCTCCTCTCTCCCCTTCATTCCCCTCTGTCATTACGCGTTATCCCGGAGAACCGGGCCCCTCTCATGTCTTCTCCATCGCCTCGTTTTTCCCCTCCTGTCTCTCTGAGAAAGTCATTTTAATTGAAGCTACCACTCCTGCTGCCTCTCGTAGCTCGGTTGCCACAGATAATTGGACGAGGCGTTCACAAATCCCTCTTCTCGATCCCCCTTCCTGCCTCCTCTACTGCTTCTGATGTCACTCTGTAGGCCTCTTGTGTTGCAAGATTTCTCTGTTATGCGGTTATCATAAACCTAGGAGATGTTGTTCAGAGTTATGGGGAGTTAGGTTTAGTAGCTGTTTTAATCTCCGGGTGGATTCAAATAGAGGGAAGCATGATGCCACACAGGTTGTCCCGATAGTTCTATGTTCCAATCAGTGATCGCTGAGGTTAACAACAAAATGGGTGTCTGGAGGCATGTTCTGTAATTAACTCATTGACTGGCAGCCATTTTCCAGAACAGAGAGTACCATACTGCCAGAGTTTTTTTGAGCATTTTGACAGATTTTTCAAGAGCCACAGAATAGTTTGTGCTATGACTATGTAAACACCGAACACACCAAAAGAAAGAGTAGACTCTCTTCTTTCATCAGGAAAAAAAAAATGTTCTACCTTATATCGTTCTTCCTCGACTTGCGTCTCACCGGCGACATGTTCTCTCATAGCGAACCGTTACCTTTTTCTTATTTGCCTACAATCTATGCTCATCTCCCATCAAAAGTGGCACTGCCACCTAGAGGGTAAATTTGTTACTACATACTCTGTCTAGAAGCCTGATATTTACGGACGAGCTTTAGCAGATCGTCCCCCAGCCACTCTCGTTGAAAAACATAAAAGACGTCTATAGACGTCTTTGGCAGTCAATGAGTTAATACCTAGTCAAAGAGAAGCCACGTGTTTTTTGGGGTCGCCCTGACGACGTGTGCTCGTTCCCTCCTCAGACGACACCCCGGAGACGTGCATCTACTCGGCCTGGTCGCCCTGGTCCGCCTGCAGCAGCGCCACCTGCGACAAGGGCCGGCGGATGAGGCAGAGGATGCTGAAGGCCCAGCTGGACCTCAGCGTCCCGTGTCCCCACACCCAGGACTTCCAGCCCTGCATGGGCCCGGGATGCAGCCAGGAGGGTAAACGCCCGTTCGGATAGATCGCGGCCGCTTTTTCTGTCGATAAATAACGTTTATTCGACGTTATGCTGGATTGCAGCTGCGGATAATTGCTCATTTCCTTAATTAAGTTTAAAGAAAGTGTGCTTAATGTCCTCAGAGCCGAGCCAAAAATGGGAAGGCTGTACGTCAGCGCAGAGCACCAGCTCGTCTTTTTTTAATCAGATTCTGCCGACTGCACTCGAAGCTCTAAAGAACAGAAATGATGAGGCTTTAATTCACTTTTATGTCCTTATCTGAAGGAAACAAACTTGTTTTTTGCTGTGCTGGAAAACAAGCCGAGTTCATTTGTGACCTCAAAACATCACCAAAGCAGTTAATTGTGATCTCTGAATTTAAAATTGATCGATCAAACTAAAGCGCTGATTTGAAATTCCTCAAATAACGCGTGTTCAGTCAACTCAGGAAAACAAATGGATCATTACTTGCGACTATCAGCTACAACCACTTTAAAGAATTTGATTTCAATAGCAAGACAAATGGCTCCCAGCTCATAGGAATCATTATTTATACGTCTTTCAGTGTCCATATATCATCATCTGTTAGGGGGTGTACGCCACAGCAGGGTGACTTTTGTGGCCTTAAACACTCTGAAATCCTTTTTTTTTGCCCCCCAACACACTGCGTCATCCACTGATTTGGATGTTTTCCCGGGATTTGTCTTCTCACCACAGCTCTGCGTGGTCTCCAGAATATTTCAGGACTCCACTGAGGGGTTCTAAATGGCTAAGGAGGTAATATAAAAATGATGATAAAGTCAATTCAGATTGCATCTCTCAGAGCAGGGACCTCAATCCCCGGTCATGTGGGTCTGGAAGCAGGGAAACATCTCAAACCTGCAGGACAGTGGTCCCTCGAGGACTGGAGATAAAGATCCCTGACTCCAATGAATTCAACACCCCTGTTTCGAGAGAGACTAAACAAATGGAAGCAGTAGCAAAGCATCGTTCTCCGGCCATTTGTGTCCCAGATCTGTGCGCCTATCGAGCCGATCAGACCAAAGCCGGTGTTCTGTCAGGTCAGCATACCCCGTCAGACCAGCATACACATAGTTTCGTATTACTGCGAAAAGTTGCGAACACTTGGAGAAGCCGTCAGATCGCCATACCTTTCGAAAAACACCAAATCCGAATACCCGTACATACATTTTGAAATGGCACATTAATCTTATCAAAGTGTATGCTGACGGGCTGATCTGAAGGGCTAGGTATGCTGATCTGACGGGCTAAGTATGCTGATCTGACACCTTTACTGTCAGACTAGCATACCCCGTACGAAAATCTGACGTCATGCGCATGAGTATTGATTATGGGTATGCTGGTCTGACGGGGTATGCTGACCTGACAGAACACCGGCTCTGAGAACCAGCAGAGTAGTCCTCTCTGGGCGTTTTTCATTTTGGCTGCATCCCCGTGAATCTCGCCGGGCAGCTCAGCCCTTATTATTCCTCTGCACGGGAAATCAGATGTCCCATTGTACGGCCCCCGCATGGTAATTAGGGTTATTGTCACCGGGAATTAGAGCCTGTGTGAGCAGACGGGCCCAAACAGAAGGAGGCAGGTGACTCCAATAAGAATCAGCGGCTTCTGCGAGACACTGAGGGCAGACACCGAATCCTAAATCACAGCGAGATCTAGCGCATCTATCCCACCGAATCCTGAGATATTATTTGGATTAGCTCTTAATGCCGAGCAGGATGCCGCGCTCAGAAGGCTTCGATTAAGACGCCGTGACTTGTTGGAACGTGGAAGCCTTCGCTAAGGAGTGTCAGGATGAGAACTCAAGGCAGAACTCAGGCGCAGAGATCTTTGGCAAAAAAGGTTTTAATTAAACCAAAAGTGCACTCGCTGTCACGTCTGGGGGAATGTCTGGTGTCTCGTCATGTCTTGATTACCTATTGTGTACACCTGGGGTTCCCCTCCCTCATGTGTTTAAATAGTCCTCGTTTCCCATGTCCTGTGCCAGTGCGTTTTCGTCTTTCGTCTGTCTGTTTCCGTCACCCTACGTAAGGTTTGATTTTGTCACAGCCTAGTTCACTTTATTGCCATAGTCTTGTTTTCGTGCCATAGCCATGTTTTTGCCATAGCCTTGTTTACCTAATTTGATATTTTGTTCATGTGTTTGCCACAGCCATGTTTTCGTCATAGCCATGTTTTGTCACAGTTTTGTTAATCATGATTTGATACTTTGCCACAGTCTTGTTGACTTTATTGCTTTGATACTTTGTTCATAGTTTTTCAGAGCCTTGATCTGAACTTTGTCTGCCATCCACTCCGTATGAGTGCTTTTGTTCCAATAAACCCTTGTTTCACGTATCTCCGCGACTGAGTCCTCCCTCAAGATCCCACCTTCCCTGACACTCGCAAGGAGTGGAGGACGAGGAAAAATACAAAAACCAGGCAGACAAAACTATGAACAAAGTATCAAATAATGATCACTCAATCAGGGAAGACAAGCTGACATGTGACACACAGGGGAGTGCAAGAGACCTGAAACAAGGAGAAGTATCTTTCAAAATAAAACAGGAAATGACAAGACAACCATGGAGACGGGACAAAACACTAAAATTCCCCAAGACGTGACAATGAGCACAGAGGCTGGGAAACAAACAAAAAACTAACAAATCCCCACAGATCTGGAAACCCGTGAACGCCACATTTTCTCTCTCGCGTTTTGTTGTTCGGCTTGTGCCTAAGTTTCTTATTTCTTTCGTCTTATTTCTGTCTCTGCTGCCAGTTTGATGCTTCTCCCCATCAAACAAACACACACACACGGGGTCACAAAACCCAAAGAGTCTACACCCGGTCCATTTTATTCCCGGAAGGTTGTCGGTTCGGCTCTCGGGGGCAGGCCTCTCTCACCCCTCACCAGCTGAGTGCAGTCTAAAGGAGTCTAAAGGAGTCTAAAGGAGTCTGAAAGAGCCTCTCCCACCCCGGCGTGCTCCCGCTATTTACTCCTGCTCCTATCGATTACCAGACAGCGACACAGATAGCTTTTTGTTTCCCAAGCACCTCTCCTTTGTTTTCATTTCGCGCTCCGTTAGTGTGCGATGGGAGATTGATAATTGCGGGCTCCGTGTCGAGGTAAGGGTGATTAATATTCCTCGGAAGCACACTTTTCGCTCACTGGAGGCTTCATCTGAGGTTGAGATACCTGTATCTTTTATTAATGACGCACTTAGTTCTGCTTTATTAGGCCGAAGCTGGTTAGGAACACCGTCTCAGTTAGCCGGATGAGGATGAGAGCGGAGGGCTGCGAGTCAAAGAAAAAAAATCCATTCGAGGTGTCGCAGATTTTCATTGATCATCGCTGAAAAATAGTCCCAATTTACAAGGTCTGCTCACACATAATTATTTCCTCTTGACAGGCTCCCTTTCCACACCTTTGATATGCTATCTGCTCAAAGGCGCCACTCCCAGAGGAGGTGTTGGGAGAAGAGGCTTTTAAAAGGCAGTTAGGGCTAGATATGTCTGCCTGTAAGTGACGAATAGGGAGATCTGGGAGGGCCAGGATGGCTAATGGTGATAAAAAACCGCCTTATTGGGGCCTGGCTAAGCTTGAGAGGTCATGCGTATTGACTCCGTTGTGAATCGGAACGTCCCTAAGGCAACTGGCCTTATTAAAAAGAGACTTGGAGCAGTTTCTGTTAGGAGAGCCCTTTGAAAACTTTCAACTTTGAGCCGACCGAACAGACTCAAAGCTCAAAAACCGGGCCTGGAGGGGTGGGGTTAGTGTCCTGTGACCGCAGGACATGGGTTCAAATCCCCCCCTCTGAGCCTCCGAGACTGTTCAAACTCGGCATTATTCAGCAGATCTAAAGATCTGGTTCAGTGCTGGGTTTGGGGCTAGATGCACAGGTGCTCTGAGGCGTGTTTCATCGTTTTAAGAGCAACATTTGAACCCCTGGATGAAAGCATACGTGGAATGAACAGCGATTCACTTCAATAAACCGTAACACTGAGCTATGAGATTGAAAAGAGGAATACAGACATCAATAATAGGTCCACTCAAAATGCTTTTTGATGGATTTCACTTCCAAAACCTTAATCACACTTTATTAAATGTACATGTGGAGAACATTCTACTTTCATAATAAAATCTATGAACATTAAAAATGGTTACAGCATTTATAGGTGTTAAATATTTAATAGAAATACATTAACTAGTCGTGTTTCTGGTTTGGTTCATATAGGTAGCAGCCAGGCTTCAAACAAAAGATTACAGGGTATTAAAATGAATTACACTCTATAATTTATCCTGATTATATTAAAGCAGAGACTGCCGTGTCAGAGTGAAATGCACGAATAAGGAAGGAAATGTTGAATTTAGGTTTTTCAAACATTATTGTCTTTATTTACTGAGCAAAAACTTTAATTTTTACTCATTGATTGAGACTTTATCTCTTTCCTTGAACACTTTCAACCACATTTGTTAGAAATAAACCTACCAATAGACAAGAAATGAAAGAACTTTTCATTGAATTATCAACAAATACATCAGTTTAGTCTTCTTAAGCTCTGCCTGTGGTTATGGATGTGATCTAGAGGTGGATCTCTGCAGGTTGATAGAGTCATTTCTTTTCAAATGACCTATTGGAAGAGCAAACTGCACATTCGTCCGCAATGACTGCTATAAAAACATAGCCGACTAATTATATTTCTCTCAAAAGAAGTTCCTGTTTAGCCCTTTAAAATACAGGTGCACCAGCTTCCTTGTTAAGTAATAATAATTCAGACCTAAAAGGTAAGCCCACCGGAGCCCCCAACCTGCCTCACCCATCTGTTACCCTGTCACTGTACTAAAACATAAACCTTTGTGAGAAGTACAGACTTCTGCCGTCTTGCATAGTGAAGAAGAAATGCCTACCAGCATGTAAAAATGGAGATGGACAAATGGGGAAGAAAGCATGAAAATAGGTGTGCTGGGGATAAAAACAATAATAATAAATTGATCAACTGTATAGCAAAATACATTTAAAAAGTTGAAATAAAAGATACTAAATGTACCTGAATCAGAGTCTAAACCATTCCAAGGGAATAAAAAGATCAATGTAAAGGAAAATGATACTAAAAAAAAATTTTTTTTCTGTATATCAATGACAAAAACTCACAAAATGACAAAACTGGGTAGCAGAATAGATAAACATTAACACAGTTGTCACAAATCCTATTTGAAATCAAAGCACATAAATGACTTTATTTCACATAGTTTTGCAAAAAAAAACATTTTTATTGAATTTAATAGTATTATTGAATTTGGCAGCATCTGTAATAATCTAACAGTTTTTTTTATATATATATTTGTACTTTTTCAGATTATAACAGTCAGTCCTCACTAGGTTCCTGTTATGTTGTCCCGGTTCACACACACATGCTGTGACAAACAGAAGAAATAAGATGGAAAACGGCAACATGCTCTCTTTTTTCTCCCTGGTTTCCAGAGCCGTCCACGTGCATGATGTCTGAGTGGATTAGCTGGTCGGCCTGCAGCGCGTCCTGCGGGATGGGGATGAGGTCCAGAGAGCGCTACGTCAAACAGTATCCCGAGGACGGCTCGCTCTGCCAGTTCCACACCGAGGAGACGGAGAAGTGCGTGGTCAACGAGGAGTGCTGTGAGTCCGCCCCCAGAAACGCCAAACAAGGCCGGTTTATCAGAGAAAAGGGGAAAAAAAGAAATGGCTGTAGTGGAAAAGTGTGTTTCTTTTCCTGTCAGTTTAATAATGACACTTTTTAAAGATTCCCCCCATTGACAGTACAATGATATGATTCCTTGTACTTGTTACATTATGTTTATGTTTATGTTTATGCATTTGGCAGACGCTTTTATCCAAAGCAACTTACAGAGTAGACACAATATTACATTTCTCATCACTATGACAATAAGCTATCCAGAGAAGAAACACTGATCAGAGTCAGTGGTGAGATAGAGGTAGAGGTTGATGGACTACAGAAGGAGCTGTGGGGGGGTAGAGGTACGGGTTAGGATTAGGACAGGCATTAACTCTTTACTTGGTGTGATGTCATAGTTGTTTAAATCTATTTACAGTTTTCTACACAAAAAATTGACGTTAAATTAAAAAATAAAGGAGTATGACTGTTTTAGTTTTAACCTGAGGAGAATTGTGACTTAGGAGGAGTTAGCAAACGGCTGTTTGTGACTATGTATGCCGCCAACTTTACTTGACTTTATTCTCACGTCGACTTGTTTTTCCACCCTTTTCTTCTGAAACACACGCATTTAACACACCGCCTAAAAATAACTCCTGCAGACTCTCATCAGACAGCTTTTGGACGCCCTTCTGCGGCTTTAGCCCGTGCAAGGCCGTCCCAACCAGATGGGAGGCACTTTAATTCAGAATCAGAATCAGAAATACTTTATAAATCCCAGAGGGAAATAATTTTTGTGCAACGATCTATAACTTTAATCATATGTACATTCTAACAGTGAAAGACAGAATCCCAAAGAAAGTTCCAGAAAATCACATCATATGAATTTATAAAAATTGATAACCATCTGATGAGGAAAAATAAGCATTCTTTGTAAGTGGGCAAACCTGCAAAATCAGCAAGGGGTCAATTACTTATTTCTCCCACTTTATATATATATAAATATATATAATAATATAAAATAGATATATTCATATGTAACTATAAGTATATATGCAGATCTAAGATAAGTGATAATGAGAGTATGCAGAAGAATAGCTAAATTCTGTTTCTGTTCATGGAGGTTTTGGTGGGGAGGTGTCTGAATTTATAATGAATTTATAAAAATTGATAACCATCTGATGAGGAAAAATAAGCATTCTTTGTAAGTGGGCAAATCTGCTAAATCAGCAAGGGGTCAAATACTTATTTCCCCCACAGTATATATTATATAATATAAAATAGATATATACATATGTAACTATAAGTATATATACAGATCTAAGATAAGTGATAATGATAGTGTGCAGAAGAATGAATAAATTCTGTTTCCATTCATGGGGGTTTTGGCCCCCACTGAGCCTGTGTGTTGGGGAGGTGTCTGAACCTGTTCCCTTTTCCTCCCCATCCCCCCCCCCCCCCCCAGCTCCCAGCAGCTGCGTGGTGACGGAGTGGGGGGAGTGGGACCCCTGCAGCGTGACCTGCGGCCTGGGCATGCGGAGGCGGGAGCGCATGGTGAAGATGCCCCCCAGCGACGGGTCCATGTGCAAAGCAGAGGTGGCCGAACTGGACAAGTGCATGATGCCCGACTGCCGTGAGTGACCCCGTCCAACTGGGATTAGTGGGGAAAAAAGCAGTGGTGGATAAAGTACTCATACAATGTACTTAAGTAAAAGTACAAAAATGTACTCAAGTAAAAGTCAAAGTACCACATTATTATTTTACTTAAGTAAAAGTAAGAAAGGGCAAGCTTTTAAAACTACTTAAGTATTCAAAGTAAAAGTACTTGCCAACCATAATACCTAACGGCTTATATATTGTCATTAAGTGTACCTGTCGTATTTAGTTTTAATAAATCAGTAATGTACCATTTTAATGAGCAATGCTGCAGATAAAGCATGTTTTTATTGTGTTTACTCCCTGTGACAGTTTAGATTTAGATATTTTATGCAGGTCCTGCGTAATGTGCTGCTCTTCTTGAGGGAGGGCCTGATGGTTATTTCCCGCTTTGGATTGGTTCAGCGGACTGATTCTGCTCTCGCCATTGGATACTTTCAAACTAACGAACAAATAAAAAAACAAAACAAATGCGTGTCGGATGTAACGAGTAACGAAACGCTGTATAGAAATGTAGTGAAGTAGAAAGTAACAGATACTTACTGTTAAATGTAGTGGAGTGAAAGTAGAAAGTATCCATTATTAAATCTACTTAAGTAAAGTACAGATACACGGAATTGTACTTAACTCATTCGCTGCCAAAGACGTCTATAGACGTCTTTTATGTTTTTCAATGCGACTGGCTTTGGGGAACGATCGGCTAAAGTTTTTCCGTAAATATCGGCTTCCAGACAGAGTATGTACTAACAAATTTACACTCTAGGTGGCAGTGCCACTTTTGATGGGAGATGAGTATAGACTGTAGGCAAATAAGAACAAACGCAATGGTTCGCTATGAGAGAACATGTCGCCGGTGAGACGCACGTCGAAGAAGAACGGAATAAGTTAGAAACAAAAAAAATTTCCTGATGAAAGAAGAGAGCCTACTCTTTCTTTTGGTGTGTTCGGTGTTTACATAGTCATAGCACAAACTATTCTGTGGCTCTTGAAAAATCAGTCAAAATGCTCAAAAAACTCTGGCAGTATGGGACTCTGTTCTGAAAATGGCTGGCAGTCAATGAGTTAAATGTAGTGGAGTAAAAGTAGAAAGTATCCATTATTAAATCTACTTAAGTAAAGTACAGATACACGGAAACGGACGTGTGTGTGTGCAGACGCGGGCCCCTGCGTGCTGACGCCCTGGTCGGACTGGGGCGGCTGCAGCCGGACCTGCGGGCCGGGGGTCCGGACCCGCAGCAGGATGCTGAAGTCCGACCCGGCCCAGTGCCCCGAGGAGCTGGAGCAGAGCGACAAGTGCATGCTTCCCGAGTGCCGTGAGTCCACACACACACACACACACACACACACACACACACACACACACACACCCTTTGTCTTCTGCATTTCTCAACTCAACTCAACTCAACTTTATTTATAAAGCGCTTTCAGTCAGCCAAAGCTAAAAGCTAAAATCAAAGCGCTGTACAGGCCATTTGAGCAAATCCATCCATCCATTATCAATACCGCTTATTCCCTGTTGGGAACTGGAGCCTATCCCAGTGGTCAACGGGCAAGAACCAGGATACACCCTGGACAGTCCGCCAGTCCATCGCATGGACACACAGAGACACACAAGGACCAACAACCACTCACACTCACATTCACTCCTAAGGGCAATTTCCCCAACCTCCAACCAGCCTAACATGCAGGTTTTTGGACTGTGGGAGGAAGCCGGAGAACCCGGAGAGAACCCACAGACACAGGAGAACATGCAAACTCCACCCGGGATTCGAACCCAAAACCCCGGCGACAGTGCTAACTGTCGCCGGCGACAGTGCTAACCACCACACCACCGTGCCGCCCCCCCATTTGAGCGAATCATAAAACACAATTATCACCTCCACAAAAGACAAACTCAAAGATTAAAAACAGTAAGAGCAAAAATAAAAAACAAAACCAAGTAAGAGAGGGAAAATAAGACGACTAAAATAAAGTCGAAGTCTCACTCAAAGGCCTGAGAGTAAAAGTGGGTCTTTAAAAGGATTTTAAAAGAGCTGAGTGTAGGGGCCTGTCTGATAAAAAGGGGGTTCTAAACCATAGCCTCGTTTACTGCATTTTGGAGTCCAACCAACCTAACATGCAGGTTTTTGGAAGGTGGGAGGAAGCCGGAGAACCCGGAGAGAACCCACAGACACAGGAGAACATGCTGACTCGGGGATTTGAACCCTTTAATGCAAAATGCGTCATATTTGACAAGCTGTTGCATCATCATAGGGTCCAAAAATGTCTATTTTAGCTTGTAGTAAAAGTTTTGCAGTAAATATTGATTACATTTATTTGCACATTTCCTCCTCTCTAAGCTCACAGTCCCTAAAAAACATGGATCGTGGAGCTTTGCGGTTCATTTTCTCTTTTAAAACCCTCCCGCCTCATAGCTGTTTAATCGCTGTTTAAACTCAGTCTGTGGCCTCAGACCTGCATCAGGCAGAGGAGCTCAGGAGTTGTTCCCTGGAGGCTTTTTTTTTTACTGTCTGTTCCTAAAGTGAGAGCTGAACTGGGCATGAAGGCGCTCAGGTTTCTCTCAGGATGAGCTGCAAAAAGACCTTAAACTAAAGGGTCTGGTTTCACTGGGCTCTTTTAACCCTTTAAAGCCTGATCCAAGAATAATACAATACAGAATTTATTTATTTTTGGTTTGAATTCCCTATTTGGCCTTTTAACTAAATATGTCAAAAGAAAAAACAGAAATACATTTTTGATATTAGTAATTTATTACTATGCGATAAGCCAAGATTATTTTTTGTGTAGTCTTCTGCCCCCTGTTATCAGGTATATCTGATTGTGTACAATAGACTTAGACTTAGACTTAGACAGTACTTTATTGATCCCTTGGGAAGACTCCCTCAGGAAATTAAGGTTACCAGCAGCTTAAAGGGCAAACAGTATCAAGTTAGAATCAAATTAAGCAAAAATATACAAATAAATAAATAAAAATACAAAAAATACAGATTAAGTACAGTGTATATAGTATCTCTTCCCCCTGTCCTGGTTCACTTCCTCGCCCCCAGTGAGGCATTGTACAGTCTGATGGCGTGGGGGACAAAAGAGTTCTTGAGCAAAGTTTTTACCATTAAATTATGCAAAAGGAGTCAGACGCAAAACATTTCAGAAACCGTATGTATCAAATATGATACATTTGGCATTATAGGGTTGTTGGCGGAAACATCTGGCCACAGGCGTTTGGAGTTAAACAGATAGTAAGAAGCCAAGCGTCTCTGTCCCATAACCTTTCGTCAGACTCATATGTCTCATTTTGGCTCCACAAATGAATAGGAACGGCTTTTAAAGCTGAATAAGTTTCAGGATTTTGTGGATTTCTTGTGTCAGAGACTTGGTGCTGCCACGCCTCTCCAGCATAAATCACCTAACTCCAAAGCTGTTCCCCATTTTCATGGGCAAAGGCAAGATTTATTCTTCTTGCCTCTGGAGCGTTTTGCTAATTATTTAACATGCCCCTGTCACTTTCCCCCTCGGATATCGGTTATGTGCTGGGTCGTTTGTCAGAGTGGGAGAAGTGGAAAACTTGCAGAGAGGGTGAGAAGTAGAAAAATGAAGACGGTAAACACTTTGCCCTCGAGCGGGACCCAGAAATGGGGAAAAAAAAACGCGACATTAACGAATGACTGGGATGTCCGAGGGCGCTTTTTTTTCTGCGATCTCACAGACGTTCGTGTTTGAGCTGAACATTCCCGTTGGTTCATCTGTTGTTTGACACAGTTTAGTGTTCCTCACAGCCGTTTCCTTAGTGGTCCAAATGAAGCGTTTGACTATAAATAAATTCTTTAATTATATACTTGTTCTGCAGTCTGAGCACTTTCTCAGTCCAGTGACCATAATGGGGAAAAAAAATATCCTCTCCCAGACTTGGTTTACCACATTTGGTCGTTTTAGTTGTTTCAGACATACTTTTTTTACCGTTCTGTTTGGGGATTTTTGCTTGGTTTTGTGCAAAAACGATGACTAGCTGCCCACCTGAAGCTTGGCTTCTCCTCTTAGGACAAAAAGTTATTCAAATTATTTGAATTATTTAGTTATTAAAGATGATCCAAGAATTGATGAATTAGGTTCCACGTATTATGGATCCTGTGTGAAATCAACAGTAAAACTGACAAAAATCTCAGCCTTTCTTTGGTTTTTATCTGTCTGGTCATTTTCCTTTTCTAGCAACTGGACATGGACCATGATGCAAAGCTAAAGGCTGTATTTACTCTTAAGCTTTACTTTTAAGCAAACAAATCAGGAAAATTACCACAACAAATGCAGAAATAATTGAAATAAGAAAAAAAAACTGCTTTGCATGCAATAACCAAAATTACTTTCTTTAAAAACGTTGAATGATCTCAATTTATTGAATAAAACCAAACTTTGCTACAAACAAAACACAATATTGTGAGCAATTAAAACCTTTTCTTAAAAATCTTTTCTAATCTAAAATGCAACTGGAGTTGTTTGTGAAAGGCAAAAGAAGACAAAGTGATGCATTTTCAGAAAATTATTTGGCTCTAAATGTGCAAACAAACTTTTTAAAAATCTAATTTTAGTTCAGCTGAATAAAACCATCTATTTTTCTACAGTTTTCTACAGTTTCCTTCATGTTGATAAGAGTTTACTGTAAAAATCACCTCACGTTATCCATCCACACTGGGTCCGATACTTTCTTTTGTTTTCCATTCCCTCCTCCCTTTTTCTTCCTGATCTTCCTTTCATTTCTCCTCCCTAGCGGTGGACTGCATGGTGTCCGAGTGGTCCGAGTGGTCCGAGTGCAACAAGTCCTGCGGTAAGGGACACACCATCCGCACCCGCATGGTCAAGCTGGAGCCGGAGTTCGGGGGCAGCGCCTGTCCGGAGACCATCCAGAGGAAGAAATGCAAGATCAGGAAGTGCAGGACGAAAGCCAAAGACGGAAGGGGCGGAGGTGGAGGAGGAGGAGGAGGAGGAGGAGGAGGAGGAGGAGGGAAGAGGAGACGGAGGGGAAAACAAGGAAGAGATGGAGCTGTGGAGGAGCAGCCAGGTGGGTGGCGACAACCAGTGTTGGGGAGTAACGGATCACATGTAACGACGTCACGTAATTTAATCACAAAAAAAGAGTAACTGTAATTCGTTACAGTTACAATGAGAAAAATATGTCATTCAGTTACAGTTACAATGAGAAAATATGTCATTCAGTTACAGTTACTTCCGAAAATATTAAGAACTACAAATTTAGTTACATTCTTTAAAAAATATAAAGAGAAACCTTTGCAAAATATGCAACTCACTGATAGACGAAGCGTATTGATTTACTAATATTTGACTGTCTGGTGTTGATGCATGACAAACGTTTATCGATGTCTATGACCTAGCCTAGCCTAGCCTACCTAGCCAACGTCCTCTTTTTCCCGGACATGTCCTACATTTCAGACTAAGGTTGTCAAAAGTATCGATACTTAAAAAAGTATCGATACTAAAATGTATTTACGTTGTTTATGATCGTTAACAAGACGTTAGCCTTGAACTGCTAGCTGCGGCCAATAGCTAATAATAACATGCTAAAATGAATCATCGGTCAATACCCATTAAAACCTTAAAGTAATCAAAAAGTAATCAAAAGTAATTAGTTACATTACTTTTTTAAAGTAATCGAAAAAGTTACACTACAATTACATTTTAAACAAGGTAACTTGTAACTGTAACGGATTACATTTTTAAAGTAACTTACCCAACACTGGTGACAACTGTATTTCCACAGTTTGAAATTGAGTTACAAGAAAAAATGCACCCTCACAAACACAAGCCAGCTCAGAGAAGTCATTTTAATTTAGTATAAGTATGCAAACTCAATTCAAACATCAACAGTTTGCAGATGGTGTAGTTGGCAAAACTGAGCTAAAAAGCACACAAAAAACTAAAAATCGAAAAGAAACCTGCACAAGCTGTAGATATAGAAATAGACGTAGACATGCGTCAGTCCGAAAGCAAAGAAAACTTACATTCGAACTGACTGTTGCATAGTTTAATTGAGTTTCTTTGTCGTTTTTTGCTTCCTGTTTCTGTCCATTGTGACGGAAAAGGACAAAAGTCTTTGTTCACGCTGCCTATTAAAAATAAGTTTAGTATTTATGTGAGCATTGAAGCTGGTAGCCTGTCCATAAGTGACCAAAAATGACACACAAAAGATAGAAAAAGGGGTAAAAAAGCATGCGTGTTAATGGTACGGGGCATAACTTGCTTTGCATGCTCTTTTAGCTCATTTCTGGTTAAAAAAAAAGGATCATTTCTAGTCTTATGTCTTTTTTTCCATCAGCATGATAATTGTCAAAGACCAAAGAGATATATGTAAATATATATCTCTATATATATCCATATCTATATATATAAATTAAAAATAAAATATTATAAAAATATTATAAAAATATTATAGAAATATTATAAAAATATTATGAAAATATTATAAAAATAAAAAAATAAAAATAAATAAATAAATAAATTTAAATAAATTAAAAAAAATTAAAAAGTATATATATGATAAAAATATGTGTATATATATATATGTATGTTTGTGTGTGTAAATGCTAGAAAACCCACTTTTGTGTGTGTAAAAACCAGGTTTCTCTGCCCGTTTTTCTATACTCTGTGTCATTGTATGATTTTACCTTGTTCTTATGATGACGAAAGCTGAATCCTCAGTGCACAGGTGTGTATGAGTGTGTTTGACTGTCGATGCGTCCAACAGGATGCAAGAGCCAGCCCTGGACCAGCTGGACCGACTGCACCAAACCGTGTGGGGGGGGCATCCAGGAGCGCTTCGGAAAGGCCAAAAAGAGGCCGAAGGCCAGCAACTGCAAGAACCGGAAGGAGATCCGGGCCTGTAACGTTCATCCCTGCTAGGGGGCACTACTGAGCAGCAGAGAGGAGAGGAGGGAGGGAGGGGGGGGGGGGTAGGGGAAAAACAACAGTTCCTTTGACAGAAATGATGGTGTGGAATGATTTGTTTGATTCAAAAGGAGGTGAAGACAGAAGGAGGTGATGGGTTCGTTTCCCACTCTGGAAGAAGGACGGAGTTTTGTGCGGGTGAAAGGAGAAGAGATAGAAAAAGAAAAGAGAGAAGGAGACTCGATGTGTAGTGAAGCCATTGTAGAAATTAGAAAACAGGGCTTACTCTTATTTTAGACCACAATGGAAGTATTAGAGAAACGTCTGTGTCTTGCAAAAACAAACAAAAAAACAAAAAAATCACAATGATAATTAGCTTTAAAACAGAATAAAAAGCTATGATTTCAGATGGTTAATATTTTTAGCTGTGTATCTCTAACAAATTAAATATGGATCATTTCTGAAATCAGTTTTTTTACTTGAACACTGAAACAAAGACAGTTTGTGCAACTGCAAAGCTTTGAGTTAGCAGTTTTAAAGACTCACATTTTTGCTCAGTTGGACAGAAATATCACTATAAACAATTATAGTGAATGATTAGGCTTTTGTATTATTTACACAGCTTAAAAGCAAACCAGCAGACCTGATCTGAGCCTTTTTTATGCAACAATTTGTGCAAAACGCCCATGAGATGCGTACAGGACACTGCACAACTGCACTGCTGGAACTTCAACTCTCAAATAGGAATTAAGACGATTCCACAAATACCAAACAGATGTTTTAAGGGTTTAATCCGACTCTTTTTCCGTGTTTCTTCCCAATTGAAACCGGCCAGCATCTGTTCTATTCCCATTAATTATTAAACCAATAACATGTTAAATACTCTCAGTAGTAGAATCAAATCCATTGCCTGTAATGTTCCTATTTACTATTACCATTTCTCACCTAAATAAGGGGAAAAATAGACTTTTTGCAAGACATAGACGTTCACACAGGAAGTTCCTTCAGACTTCTGGATGTACTGTAAATCTACTATCTAACCAACACGTATACGCGACACTGCTATGTACTAAAAACCACTTTCACACCTAAACCGACGTAAACCGAGATGTTTTCTACTGTTGAGATTAGTCTTTCTATACTGTCCTGCTGTCCGTCTGTGGTCTCAGCCGATGTAGCATTAAGCTAGCTGTGGAAGAGCTCTCGTTTAGGATGTGCAATTCTTGAGTTGTTTTTTTTTTTTGCGTTTTGGCTTTTGTCGGCTGTAGTTGTCGCCTCATAATCGCCCGACGCCACGTGACCCCGTAAAAGCACAACCGGACGGAGGCGGAAAAGTGTAATTTGGTGCTTTTTGCTGCTTGCAGACATTAGAAAACGTAGATATTTCCACAGTCTTAGAGCATGTGAGACAGCTCATTATGCAGCAGAATGTTTATGAGGCCTTCATTTT